CACACACACACACACACACACACAGGCAGGGGGAATCACATCAACTCGCTCTCCCCGCGTGGGAGTGTGTCCTCCATCGCCTGCTGCCGCTCCACCTCCACCAGGCTCGTGATGAACGTCACCGCCTCGCGGAAGTCGCGAGTCTTGCCGTGAATGCGGCGGAATCGCACAAGCGTGTAGCCAAAGCTTGCCGGCGCTAAAATCACGTCCACGTCACAGACGCCGTTGATTTGACTAACGGCGCCGGTACCGCCATACGCGAGGGCCCTGTGCGTCAGCGTGGCTGCCGCCTGGTTCGAGGAGTTCAGCAGCGGCCCTGTCCCGCCGCCGTTAATGGCGCTGCCGTCGTGGCTGTTGGTGAGCAGCGAGGCGCCGAGCGACGGCGGCTTCTGCATGCGGCTCAACGAGGCGCCAAACACGAACTCGCATGGTGGGCCGGAACCGACGAGCGGCGCGGTGATTGATGTCAGCATCGGCGTCGATGTCTCCATCGTCGCGCCGACGAGCAACGCCGCAGAGCCAAGGTAGCGGAACGAATAGACGTTCTCCGTGTCGGATACTATGTCATCGCTGTACAGCAGCAGCAGCCGCTCACGGCAGCTCGTCAGTTTCTCCACAACGGCATTCTGCAGCCCCACCACAAAGAAACCGTGGCGCACGCACTCCGCCAGTTTGCGTGACTGCAGCAGCGCCGCGAGGTTCGTGGCGGCCGCAAGCTTCGGCCCCATCGGGTGCCGCACAAGCATCTCCCGCATTGCCATCCCCATCAGAAACTTGTCGAAGGTGATCTCTCTGGATGTGCCGAGATCGTGCTCGTCGAAGAAGCGCATCAGGCTCTGTATCTCGTCCTCCGACACGTCAATCTTACAGCGCTTAAAGAGCCGCTTCCACTGCTCCACGTTGATGACACCGGTGTGGAGGTCGTCAACACTGTCGAAGGCGATGCGCAGCTGCCGCACCACCTCCCGCTCCACCTTGTCCATCTGCGTGCCGATGATCTTCGGCAGCTGCAGGTCGCTCTGCCATTTGGACGGATGGTGCGCGAGGTCCTTTCGCACCCACGCGTCGCGGAACTGCTCGTATGTGATGAACTTGCTCTTCGGATCACCGGTGAAGAGTTTCATCAGCTCCGACACATCCGCCGAAGTGACCTTTTCGCCGTGCAGCGTGGTGAGCATGTCGCGCACCTGGTCCCGCGCAAGCTTGCCGTAGCCGTCAATGTCGATCTTGCGAAAGGCGGAGCGCAGCACCGCCTCCTCCTCCTGCGTGACGCGGTGCTGCGTGGAGAAGTCGAGGAACGCCATCGAGCGCGTCAGCGACGTGCGGTGCGGGAAGAGTGTCGCCTCGAGGTCCTCCATGAACCACGCGTTCTCAATGATCTGCGTCGTCGTCAGGCGGTCGGTCGGCTCCAGTGCGAGCATGCACCGCAGAAGAGAGCGCGCCCCTTCCGAGATGTTCTTTATCTCCTCTTCCTCGAAACTAAATGAGGCGTGCTGGATGAGATAGAGCGTCTCCTCGTCATCGCGGCCGTCGAACGGCAGGCGACCGGTCAACATGAAGAAGAGAATGATGCCGGCACTCCACAGGTCCTGCTGGAAGGCGTCCGCCGCGTTCTGATTATACGGGCGGCCAGTCATCTCCGGTGAAGTGTAGTGCAGCGTGCCGATCGGCAGCTGCAGATCAATCGGCTCGCCATTGTCCTCACCAAAACCCTCCATATGCAACTTGCTGGAGAAGCCAAAGTCGCACACCAGCAGCTTGTTGTTCTTCCCCAGCAGCAGGTTCTCCGCCTTGAGGTCACGGTGCGCCACACCATTGCTGTGGCAATGGTCAATGGCGGACATGAGCTGCTGGAAGTATCGCCGCGCGGTCGGCTCTTGGAAGTGACGCTCGGCGATAATGAGATCGAACAGCTCCCCACCCTCCGCCAGCTCTAGCAGAAAGTAAAAGGCCGCAGTGCTCTGAAGAAACTTGTACAATTTCACCACGTGCGGGTGCTCGAGAGACTGCATAACGGTCGCCTCTTGTATAATCAGCGGCTCACAGCCCTGTAAGCAGGTGTTCTGCATTATCTTGAGGGCGAAGCGCTCACCCGACGGGATATACGTGACGAGGTAGACAGAGCCGTAGCTCCCCTCGCCGAGACGCTGCCCAACAATGTAGTCCTTCAGCACCACCGCCTCATCTTCTAGCAGCGAAGAGCCGGTGAAAGAGTTCGACAACGGCATCTCACCGTATGACTTGTTTTGTTAATATATTTCCTCTTCGTTCGCCTTGTCTCCTTCCCCCGGTGCTGGGGCGCTGGCGGTGCGCACCTCCCCCCAGACCAAACCACGCACGGGCAATCTCTCCCCCACCCCCCTCTCTCTCTCTTCGCTCACACACGCGGACTTTGGAGCCACGGAGAGAGAATGAGAGAAGGCGCAAAACCCCGACGGCACACGAAAAGCCAGACAAGAGAACAACACAACAGCAACACAACGGAAGGGGACAAACAATAATAATAATAATAAAGAGAGCAAAAACAGACGAGCTGTTCTTCTTTTCTTTTTATTTATTTATTCCTTCCTTCCTTCTTTCCCCACCTGTGCTGCGCCGGTGACTTGTCAGGCCCTGTGTAATGCCGTCGAAGGCTTCGGCAGCGGCAGGAATTGCTGTGGCTGTTCCCCTCCCCACTCGCCTCCGCCTCCTCCACCTCCGCTGTCTGCCTTGCTGAAGCAACACGCCCTGGACGCCTATTATGTTACGTTTAACCCCACGTGTGAGTGTCTCTTTTTTCTTTTGTTTTGCCGTATGCGTGCGTGTCTGCCTATAGCGTATATAGCCCTTGCCACACCTGTGCCGGCCCACCCACAGAAACTCTGTCTGTCGCGTTCTATATATCTCCTGTAGCGTATTTTTCCCGTTTTCTGTCCTCTGCTCTATCTTGCGTGTAGAGGACTTCTCTCTCGCTCCTTTCACGCTCTCCGCTTTCGATTGCCCTTTCTCACCTCCTCCTCTTCACTTCCTGTCTCCTATTTCTCTCTGCCACACTTCACGCAGTGCTCTCTGTTCGTATGTGTGCGCGTGTGCCGGAGACACGCGTGCGAGCCGGCGCTGCCGCTGCACCAACACTTCCCTTCGGCCGCCCATGCACCACAGCAGCAGCGGCGGCCATAACCACAAGAGAGAGAGAGAGAGAAAGAAAATCAACAAAAAAAAAGGACAGAAGGAATGCAATGGGTGCGGCCTCAAACTCATCCACACACCCACCACTAGAACTACTGCGGCAACAGCAACAGTAAAGAAACGCAAGGGTGGAACGGCTCACAGAGAGACACGGAGACGGAACAAGGCCAACACACACCTCCCCCTCCCTCCCTCCGTCCATGACTCCCACAACACAAGTATATATATATAAATATAACCGAAGAGAGAATTGCTACGAGTACGGTGCGACAACGCACAAGCAAAGGAAAACAGCAACAAGTGCGCGCCGCACACACACACACACACACACACACCGACACACAGCGAGAGGCTCCTTTGGCTACAAGACGACCCCCGGGGCGGCGGGCAAAGCAGCACAATACGCCACGGAAGCAACACAGCGGTACGGTCGGGGAAAAAGAAAAGATACCATGGAAACACCCCAAGAACCCCCGAAAANCCCGGCCTTAAGAATGCGGATTGCAGTTATGAAACTCCAGGCAGACCAATAGAATACTTTCATTTCGCACACCAAACGCTCCTTTTATTCAACCCTCTTCCTCGCCCGTCACTTCTCTCTCTCCCCCCCCCGTTTCTCACAGAGCAGCAGAAGCAAAGTCACCCCCTATCGAGTACTCCCCACTCAGAGGAGACTCTCCCCGACGCCGTAGATCTGGTGGTGCCATATCTTCCCCTCGCGGCGGCTGCAGAGTCGCACCAAATGCCAGAAAATAAACAGCCGCACGGTATCCACCAGACCTTGGCCTACTGTGTTCACATACCAACGCATAAACTCCATGTGGGAGCTGTAAAGTTCCTCCCCTTCCTCCAGCAGCATGCTGAAGTAGAGCACGGAACAGGCAAGAGAAAAGATCTGCTGCAGCACGTAGCACACCCTCAACCAACGGTTCGGCAGAACCCCTGACGGCGGCAGTGAGGCCGGATCCAAACTACACACACTGTTCGCTTTGAGCAGTGGAGACCCGGCTGCACCGCGTGAACGCACCCACCCAAACAACAGCAGCAGAACACCAATACTGCAACCAAGCACAAAAAGTGTCCCGCAGCAAGCCAGGTATCCAATGATAGTCCCAGCGAGAAAGAAGAGATGGTTCAGGTGGAAGAGGACGAGGGCAAACACGAGTGCAATGTTAAGCATAACGAGGACGGCACCTCGCTGACTAAATACTCGGGAATGATTCCAAAAGAGATATTTAGATCTCTTGCTAATGCACCCTTCCAGACGTCGCCAATTTGGCTCAGCTTTGGCGCAGCCCCGCACCGACGACAGAACTCTACCATCACTCTCAACGCTGTCGCTTTCCCCAGCCAGCGTGACATCGCATCCTCGTCTTGGTCCACGTGGACCATCCGCGGACCCGTGTGCTGCTGCAGAAGGCCTCGCGTTCTCCTCCTCGACGCGGAAAACTGGCGAATCCGCACTTACGCAGACCGTCGTAATCCCATTCACACCGCGCAGCGTCGACGCCTTGTGGTGGACACGCCTGCTTCCCAATTGGTCGTCCACCACATACAGCATCATGTCGCAGCTACACAGGAGGAAGGCATAGAGAACCTGAGAGGGACGCAGGTAGTACGTGAGGCAGTTGGAGATCACGGAGAGCCAGTTCACACCCATCATGACCCGCAGAGTCAGCGGCAACGCCAGGAAACGCACAAGCGGGTCGTTCTTGTCATCGTCAGCTTCATCTTCGTTATCACTGTCAAAGAAGTTCTCGTCTGTGCCGTCGTGTGAGTTGTGTGCATTAGCACCACTAAGAACACTACTCGGGGTACGGGCACCTCCCTCGTGGGCAGATGATTGCGCCTGGCTATTTATACCACCCACATCGGCATTACAACAAGGCTGGCCAACAGTGTCGGCAGTTGCCGCACCACCACCACCACCACTAGCAGTAGCAGCAAAGCTGACGGAGACTTCATTCACCCCAGCCGAGGGGAACGCAGAAGCCGTGCTGCCATTTGTGTGGGTCGCTACGAACACCTTTACCCTACACGCTATGGACAACATACAGCACAGAAAGATACCAACATCGGCTGCGTAAACATGACCCAGCAAAGCCATCGCTGCCCCAGCAAACCACCTGCGCCGACCACCTCTCTGCTCTTTTTTTGGGAGGGGGAGGGCTTAAAAAAACGATCAACAAAAGAAAGACACGAATGTATATTAAGAAACAAACCAGCCCGAAGCAGAGCCAATCAGAGAATGCACCAGGCATGAGGAGCACCACAGCAAGCGCTGCGGCGACCCATCAGAGGTTAAAAAGAAGACTAGTCTATGATTCGCATCATCTCTCGTTCGCGGCGCGTACGCCATCATCATCATCATCATTGCCCTTGCCGTCGCTGCATCTACTCACTGCCCCGCTCCTGCACGGGCACCAATGGCGTGCGGGGGTGCGAAACAAACGCACATGCACACTCACACAGAGGAGAACCGAGCCCCGCGCATCGTTGACACGACCGGCATTGAATGGCAAACACCGCCGGCAGAACCAAGAAACACCCAACGTGCCGTTGCGTCGTTGAGGTCAGAGACAAAACGAAACCAACAAAACAAGCTGGAGAAGTGGAGAGAATGGGTAGTCACAGCTGGAGGTAGTCCTCGACACAGCACATCCGCACGGCCTCCTATGCTGTCGAATCCGAAACATCAAGCATGGCCGACGACAACATTGATGCAATGTGCTGAGGAGGCCTTTGCAGCTGCTCGTTCTGCTGCTCAGCGTGGGCCAACGCAACCGCCTTTTGCCAAACGCTACCAACTGCGAGCGTCGATGGCGGAACCACAACGAATGCATCACCATTAGTACCGCTGCTGCCACTGCTCCTGTCGCATTCTTGAGCATTCTCGGTGTTGATGTCTGAGTGGGCATCCGCTACATCCTCGTCGCTTCCGTAGAGTTGCTGCGGCAACATGTAGAGGGGAGGCGCGGAGGGCACACCAGTATGCACCGTCATACTTGTTACGCCACTCTTTTTCGGCGGCAGCGATGCGTCCTCCTGCACGCGGTCATTGACCAGAAGTGGCGAGCGTAACGTGGGCTCCGTGCGTCCTCCCGTATTCTTCAGTGAATCTGTAACGGACGGGGACTCGAGCTCGTCTATTCTCGGGGACGGCGATGGACTGCGGGCCGTGGGCTGTGCAACCGCCGGCGACACGCCTCGCTGCTGCAAGAATGCAAGTTGCTCATCGGGTGAGTACAGGAGTCTCCGCTGCAATGATGGCGGCTCAACTGGCGGTGTCTGAGACGTGCCACCGCGGAGCACCTTGGCTGCTACTGTTGCCGTCTTTGTGTCTGTGACACCCGTACGGGGAGCGCGCACGTCTGGTGGCGACCGTACTCCCACGGCCCTCACGCCCTGCAGGGCGACTGTGGGTGGCTTGTGCGGCTCCTGCACGTATGGAGACCCCACCCAGCAGCAGCAGGAACAGGAAGAGGAAGAATCGTGACAAGCACTGCCAGTTATGTGGCTCGCATGGTGACTGGCCGGTGTAATGGTGGCGAAAGACGGTGTAGGTGGTGGTGGTGTTTGCTGCTGCTGCTGTTGGAGTTGTTGCTGCTGCTGGTGGTAGTTCCACCACTCACGCACCTCTCCACTCGCATGGCATCCTTCTGCCGCCGGACTGCTCTTGCAGTCTGGGGTAAGACCGGGAACATCGTCCCCTCTTCCGCCACCACCCACAACTGTTGTGCTGCCACTGGAAGATATTCCCCGCATAGGGGAGAAGCAACCGGACACTTCCTTCTCGCCACAAGCGGCGGCAGCAGCAGCAGCAGCCCTGTTGTGCAACTGGTACCTGTGACGAACCTCCTCCTCCTCCTCCTCTTCCGCCCCATCTACTGCAGTGGTAATATGTTGTAGCTTTTTGCTGCAGAACCCCCCCGCCACCACCTCGCGAAATTTGCACAGTGTAGCCTCCACGCGTTGGGCCTCGCTCCTCGAATCATGCTTGCTTTCGGCCTTTGCTTTCCCTTTCAATCGCACATCAGCAGCGGCAGTAGCAACGCGTTTGTCAATAACTGACACCGCATCCATACGCATCTGCAGGGCCGCTTCACAACGGCGTAAACGGCTTTCAATGCCATCCAACTTACGACATGTGCGCCGCCGCCACACCTTCAGTTGCTGTTCCAAATTAAGAACAGTCTCCGCCAGCGCGCGGTACGCCATGGTAGATGAAGTATCGCTATCATTGAGGGAAGCTGAGCGCGAAGGATACATCAGCGTCGAACTCCACGCCAGTGCACTATCCGCCACCTGCTGCTGGTGCCCCGCAGCGAGAGATCGTCCTGATGGGTGCTGACCGTTGGCCGCCAGCGTCATGGCCGAGAATACTTCTTCTATGAATACGTCTATGTGCCGGCAGCTAGCAGCCCTCGATAGTCACAATCTATACTGCTGCACGTGCCGTGTTGGCAGGACGGGGCAAATGGAGAAAAACAGTATAGTCACGTCTGTCCGGCATGGCGAGCCAGAACATCAAATTGGAGCACAAAACAGGAACCCTGAGACCAAACAGGGACACCGTTGGCGCCACACGGCAACAACACGGAGAACACCCGGCACAGCACATAGAGTGCACGCCTTCTCTGTCCCACACACACCCACACGAGCACCTCGGTACCAAGAAAACAACAACAACAAAACAAGTAACGATATTGCCAGACATGTTGAATCCATCCTACTTGACACCATGGCATTACCCCAGTTGCAGCTTGTGGGGCCACAACAGTGCCATACAAAGCAATCTGGTGAATCCTCAAGAGAGTTGCGCCGACAGACACCAGGCATTGCATGCCACAGAACACACGCACGCACATACGCACCTCCAGAGAGAACAGAAGAGAGAATACAAATACTTTCACGTCGCGGCTGCTTCGAAGCCAGCTGAGCACGCGCACCTCACCCCCTCCCACCCACAAACTCCATTCCATTCCGTTCCCAGTGCAGCAAAAATGTGCTGCAGTGGCTTGCGTGATACGCACACCCTGGTGCCGCACTCCCCGCACATCACTCCGATGCGGGGCGGCGGCCTTCTTCTCCCTGCAGGAATCATGAAGTACGTCCGTAGTGAGCTAGCCCGCGCCCCGACGTTGAGGCACATGCGACAGCTGCCCATCCAAGGATGGGCCAATCCCTGATGGGGTCTGGGGCAAACAAAAAAACAAGCGACAGCAGCAGGTGTGGGTGGTTCACCTCAATCCGCGCCACTGGGCGCTGTGCTGTCACCTTCGTAACCGCCCGCCCCGACGTTGCGTTGTACCGCACGCCCACTCACCGCACCGAACGTGTCGGTCGCCGCCCCAATGCCGCGAGCGAAAGCGGCCCGCAGGACGTCTCGTGGTGGAGGCGCGCGCCGGTGTGGTGGTGCCGTACATGCCAAACCCACGCGCCGACGCAACGCGTCTATGCGCCACCGTCGGGCATGCAGAAGAGACACATGGCTTGCTTCTGTGCGCTTGTGTCTGTGAGTCCGTGGCTACAGGACGGGACACCGTGTGGTTTCATTACAAATAAGAAGACGAACTAAAATCAAACCCAGGGAAGGACATGCACATACCCGACGCCAAGCACGCGGGGCTTTCCTTACACGCTGTGCCGTCACCCCATGCATAATTCATGTACGTGAAACAAATGTATCAAGAATTTTTGTACATTGAGGAAGACTTAGAAGGGCAATGAATTCCATTCCTGTGGGCGACTCTAACACTTTGTACAATGTTAAGAATCACAATCCTTTCGTTTTTGCCTCCTTTCCCCCTTTTTCTCCCCCTCCCCTAAGCATATACAAACTTTTTTCTTTATTTTTTTTTTTTGGTTTCTTCTTTTGCTAGCTCTTCATTGTAGGGGAGAGGGGTGGGGGGATTTGCGAGGCCGATCGGATCATCGGCACTTCCATTAAATTCCACTTTTCTGCACATGCGCGACACGAGAGGCGCCTTTACATCAACTTGGTCGTCCACGTCACCTCGTCATCGTACTGGCAGTTCATATTTGTCGTTTCATCGTACGGCTTGCACACCTGATGCGTGGCCCGTGCAGGGTAGCGGATGCCGAACGTGCAGCCCTTGCCGCTGCGCACCGATTCCGCAATGGTGCCATTCTCCACGTTGTACAACAGACCCCCATTTTCTTGCTTTTTCAGCTGCCTGCTACGGCTGTAGTCACCGCGGTAAAACACAGTGCCTGCGTTTGATGTGGGAGGCCTCACGTTGTAGCAGAGTGGCCCGCCGGCTGGCATCTCGGGGAAGCGCTCTCCGAGGCCGAAGCCGCCTACCGCCCGGTACGTAGACGGCCGCACCGCGTCCAGGTTCGGGTTATACATGCCGGGCCCAGAGACACCCTCAGCTGCATCATCGGGTGTCTGTACATCGCTCTCGTCGATCGCGAATGGATCGAATGGGCGGGCGGCGAAGCGGAACCCGTTGGAAGTCATGGGTGGCTTGCCGAGGTTGTACGAACCAGGGCCAAGAGCGTCGCCCACGGAGCGTTTTGGTGCGTGGAAGGTACGCGCCCCAACCGTAACACCCTTGCGGAAGTCTTGGTCGAACTCCGACGGCAGCTGGTAGTCGCCTGGCCCTGGCCCGGCATTGGCGACAGCGCGTGGTGTCTTGCCGGCCGGCACCGTCTCTAAGGGTGGGCGAAACACAGGTGTGCGTTTCGGTCCCTTCTGCAAGACGCGGCTCAAGTCGCCGTACTGTGCGGGGCCGGGCCCACTGGCAAGAGTGCTCTTTAGTGTCGAGTAGCGTCCGCCGAAGTGCGGGCCGTCGTATAGCCGACGCTTCGGCGGTGCCAAACGTGCCGCAATTGTGGTTGGATCATCGTAGCTTCCAGGTCCCGGGCTCAGCTCCGTATCACGCACCCTACGTATGGAAGAGATGTACTCTTTTCGTTTCGGCTTCTCATCGCCAAACCGCGGCACATTGTACGCAGCTGGCCCCGGCGCACTCTCGCACGGCCCTGGGAGCTTTGTGCGAAGCCCAAAGTGTGGGCCCTTACCTACTTGACCGAATTCAGAAGGAATGGTGTACTCCCCTGGGCCGACCATTATCCCCGCCGGTTTCTCCTGAATTTTGCTGTAGATTGTGAAGGCCGGCGTGTCGGGTGTCAGCGCAAGACTGTACTGCTTCGGCAGCGGCTGCACAGGGCCGCGCCTCGCTGCAGTTTTGCGCGGGGTTCTGGCGGCCTCAGAATCAGCAGCGTCGGTCGCTGGCGAAGGGCCACACGGCGGGCCAAAGACGGTCGAGCGGCACTGTCCGACGGTTGTTGGTATCTGATACTCACCGGGGCCAGCGCCGGAATCCGGCATGCGCGCGGCGTACTTGCGCAGAATCGACCTCTGCGGAATGTCGCTCGGGGGCGGTGTGTAACTCATCGGTCCCGGGCGGTGGTCGCGCAGTCGCAGATGCGCCCACTCCGTGAATCCACCCATCAACGCCATATCTCCCATTCGCCGCTAGAATGCTGTCGAAGATAAATCGCTGCAGTTCACCAGCTAAGAGAACAGAAGCGGAGAAAGGGCGACGACGCACATACAGGCAGCAGCGGCCAACACGCATGCAAAAAGCGAAGCAGGGGGAAAGCGCAGGCCAACCCCACAGCGCTGGCAACAGAGCAAAAGACAAAACACAGCTTGTCCAGCCAATAAATTGACTGCATTAAAAATAAAAAGTAAATGAACAATAGAGCCGTCACATCACACAAGTACTCCAAACGAAGCACGACTCCAAGCAGGGGCCTACGCGGCGGGGGCCTCCTGCGCCACCTCAACGGTGCGCGCCTCACCCTCCGCAGAGGTGGGGATCTCGCCGTGCGCAGCGAGCAGCGCCTGGGCGTCGAACTTGGGCGTGCGGATCACCTTCACCTTGCGGATGCGCAGGTCGCGCAGTGGCACGATCGGGTTGCAGCGCTTCGCCAGGCGATCGCGCAGGATGTTGCGGGTCAGCAGCGTCACCGCCTCGTTGATGTTCGTCTTCGCGAGGCGCTGGCGGATGAGGTTCGTCATACGCATGCGCACCCATTTCACAAGGCGGGTCTTGGCGTAGCAGTTCTTCGACAGCTGGTTGTCCTGCTTCTTCGTGAAGGCAATGACGAAGAGGCGCATCGTGTAGCCGTCGGCCGTCTTGGCCTCCACCGTCGCCTCAATCGTGGTGCACCACTTGCGCAGCAGGTTGCAGACGCGGTCCGACGTCATGTCCATGCTGTGGAACTGCGTCAGCAGGTTGCGGCCCTGCACCTCCTGCACCACAAACTTGACCTTGCGGAAGGCGTCGTCCTCGCTCTGCGACTTGTTGAGGTCAGCAAGGTTGCTCTCATACACGCGCCCGCGGAGGTAGTCGGCGGCGATCTTCGTGCCCTGCGTCTTGTTGCAGATGGTCTTGCTGAACTGGCGCACCTCGAAGTTCTGGGGCGCAACCACGTCGTACCACTCCTTGCGGCTCATGGCCTCCTGCGCCTTCTTCTTGCCGCGCTTGCCGCCCTTGCTGATGCGCTTGTTCTTGCCGAGCGTCATGACTTCTCTTCTCTACAACAGGAACAAATTATATAACATATGTATATGCGAGGGAGAGGAGGAGGGAAAGGAATAAAGAGGGTTGTGATTTTGGGAGGAGGAGGAAGAGGACTGAGGGGGGCGGTGTAGGCCAACAGAAGCAGTGCGAAGGCACACCCATTGAAGGAGAGAATAAAAACAAAGCAAAAACACACAAAATGGCCGCCCACCCGCTGCCCACAAGGCCACTGAGGCGGAGGACTCAATGGTGGGGGTTGAGCAGTGGCGCCGCAGTGCACGCCCTCATTACTCCCCTTCTCCATGCCGCCGCTTTTTTTTTCGTTAATGTGTCTCTCACCACAGCAGCCACTATTTATGTATTTCCCTTTTTTTTTTGTTTTCCTTCCAGCTCAGCCTTAGTACGCAAGAAAAACCTCATGATCCACCGACACGCCAGTTGCACACACACCGTCAACGCTCTCCGCCCATCCGCCGTGCCACGTGCTCCTGCAGCTCACAACAGAATCGATGCGGTTTCTAAACGACATGGCGGCCGGTTCCTCGCCCTTTTCGCCCCCGCTCTTCTGCTCATTGTTGCGGTTTGCATTAGCGCTGACAGCATTAGACTTTTGCAGTGGCACGACGCGCATCTCTGCGTCAATACCGGCAGCGATGATGGCTTTTCCCGCCGCGAAAGGGGCGATGGAACCAATTTCGTATTTCAGCACATTTGTCGTGATGCCCACGCGATTCCATTTGCGCACATCATGCACGCAAAGCGAGCGCCCCAACGCCACGGCGACTTCGTACTCATTACCTGTCGCGCACACATCTGCCACCCCCGCTGTTGGACTCGTCAGGCGGCTCTCAACAAATGGGTGCGACGACTTTGCATCCTTCCCCATNTCGCGCACACATCTGCCACCCCCGCTGTTGGACTCGTCAGGCGGCTCTCAACAAATGGGTGCGACGACTTTGCATCCTTCCCCATCGTGAGGGCGGCGCCCCCGCAGCGCAGGTCGTACACCGTCGCCACCGGCCCCTCCGCCACCACAATGCCGTGCGGAATGCCGGCGCAGGTGCAGAGACCGGTAGGCGGGTGAAACGTGCCGTACTCCTGCACCACTGCTCCCGCTGCCGTGTCGAGTACGCGGATGTCGAAGAAGAACTCCCTGCAGCAGGCGAGTTGCTGGGAAGGGAGGGTCGCCAGCCCGCACCAGCCGCGCGCGCCATACGAACAGCTGTCAGCGTCGCATGTTGACGCAGGGGCGATGAGCCTCCAAAACGAGCTCCCGTCATCGGGCTCCTGTCGTGCACGCTTCGCCGGGGCCTCATCGCTGAGCGACGCCGCCACCGACGCATCAGGAAGTGTGACACCGTACACATTCCCCACCACGTCGGCGACGTGCAGCGCTGGTGAGGGAAATGCCGCTGCGTTGGGGCCCGCCTGCAGCATCGCCGCACGGCTCTCCGAGGTTAGTTGTATGCAGCCAATCCGCTGGCCCGATGGCAACGGCAGCGACTCCCACAGCGCGTCGTCTGTGCTGCTGTCAGTCGCAGCGGTGTGACGAATGAGCCGCGTGCCGTCGCGCGGACACGTCGCCACGAGTCCAGTCAGCGCCACCCGCGGCGCGACATCGTCACTCGCCGTGTCACTGCTGCCGCCTCCGCTCGTGTGGATCCGACGCGCCACGCCGAGCTGCTGCCCAGACTTCACCGTAGAGGTGATACTGATGTGCGTCTGCGAGCCCTTCGGCACGTAGGGCCGCCTCGCCGCCTCAGTGGCCGGCAGCAGCACGCCGTGCACCGCCGCGATGGCGTACGACTCTGCTAATGACATAACTCTGTTGGTGATGGGTCAACACTTCTCGCCCGCGTTCGTCTCGTGGTATATGGCACGCAACAAGCGCCTGAGCAAACCGCACTAACACTAGATACTATATCCCCGCCACAACAGAAGCAGCAACGAGAAAAGTGGGGAGAGGTGGCAGGGACACACAGAAAGCGGCAACGATGAATGTTGGCGCCCAGCGCGCAAATGAGGGGCAAAGGCATTGA